GAAAGCAGACACAACGGTTGAAACTGGTAAAATTAATGCATCTAAAAAAATAATAATACAGCGATAAATGTGTAAGTCTGTGACATTTGTTTTTGGAATGGAGTCAAGAAAAAGCCAATAAATACGAAATGTTTTCGCGTCTCAAGGGTTTGTTTATTTTCTGTTCTTTTTTTCTGAAGCTTATTTTAGGGGTCAAATAAGTACATAATTAAAAAAAGGAAACAGTTTGCGTTAAATGTAGCCAAATAATTACGTTAAAAAAAATAATTAATTGCAAAAAATATCTCAATAGTATTGGCTATATAAATCTGTCTGGCAAGGTGTTTCAAACAATGGAGAGAAGTGAATATATGTGTAGATCTTCTCTATTTCTGTTCAGCTTTTGGTTCATACAAACTGATTCTATTAACACACAAACACACACACACATATATATATATGTATGTATATATATATATATATATATATATATATATATATATATATATATATATATATATATGTGTGTGTGTGTGTAGTTTTTTAACAAAATTGTTCAAATCGAGTAAAAGCAATTTTCATTTGTTAGATTTAGATTTGAAAAGTTGCATCGTAGAAATAATTAAAGATATCTGACTGGAAATCTCTGAGGTTTTTATAACAATAATGGACTCTATTTTGATCACTGAATTACTCTCCAAACTTAACATAAGAATCGTGATGAAATATCATAAACATAATTGACATGTTCATTATTAATTAATCACAGCCAAGGATCGGAAATTCATGAAGGATTGAAATAAAGTTCAAATATATATATATATATATATATATATATATATATATTCCAAAATCATTTTACGACTCATTCAGGATGATCCCCGCCCTCTCTAACCTTCTGTCCTGGAGTAACAAGTAGACTCAAAGTTTCATTTTCAAGTCTTTTTTAACTGCTCTTTGAACTGTCATAGCTGAAACTTCTCCAAACGTGTCATGGATTGCGTTGGATATTTTCTAAGTGATCTCTTTAAATCTAAGTGATGATCCCTCTTCCTCTTGTGAACCAGTTTTGTTGTCTAGTGTTCCTTATTTTTTAAAATTATTCAGATATCTCTTGATGGGTCTTGTATGGACTTTAAGACGGAAGCCAGAGTATAAATGCTGGTACCATTCCTGAAAGCCAGGATGATCCTTTTCCGCCCCCACCCATTGCTCATTAGGGAAGATATTGAGGCTGACATAAAACGATTTTAACTTGCTCTCTTTCTAGCTGAATAACTAAGTGTCTTTCAGTGATTCTTAGAAAAATCATATCTGAAAACTTGGAAATAAGAAACTCAATTCGTTTAAACATTAAACATTTTGAAAGATGGACAATTTAAAGTTACACCCGATATATATATATATATATATATATATATATATATATATATATATATATATATATATATATAGTGGTACTCTCTTGGAAAATTCTTCGTAGTAGAACAACATGTATCCAAGGCAAAATGAGGGATAAAAAAGAAAGAAAAATGAACATGAAATTGAGGCCAAGAGAATCGTCCAGAGTCCAAGCTAAGAGTCCAAAGAAAAAACCCCCAAAACGAATAAAAGCAACTACGTAAAGTGCTCGATAGACGAAACAGAGCAAACCTAATATAAACCTAAAGAGCCAGGCAAACCTACCTAGGTTTCACCGAGACGGATCGTCAGGTGAAAACTGGCCTAAAACTGGCCAATTTTAGCATAGGTAGGTTTTTTCTTTTTTTTATATTATATATATATATATATATATATATATATATATATATATATATATATATATATATATATATATATATTTCTTTTGATGGAATCGTGAATAATTATTTATGGCACGTGCCTGATTTTATATATATATCAGGCACGTGCTATCAATAATTATACACGGCAGGTAGCTTTTGACCTTTATGCAGTAAATCTACATAAAATTAAAATATTTTGCATCTTATGCATAATCCGAGTAACCTTCATAAATTTGTTGGATGAAGTGCTTGTTATGGCACAGAAGGAAAATGCAAGTTTGTTTATTCATTGTAGGCACAGCCCACCCTTCTTACCCCTACGGCACGTCCTTAATGAATTGAGTTCTCCGTGGCGTTGGCCTATTTCGTATAGACAAAAAACGTTAAAATTCCCTTCCTTTGTTTCGTACGACGATAGAGATAAGATATCAAATCAGTCGGCTTTTAATCCCGGCTTGAAGCAATCGGACGTCTTGCCACATGTATGATATCACCCAGTGTAAATCTTAACACTTTGCAACTATTATAATTCTCACCTTATTCACTAGCGAAAATGGTGTTTTAAATGTTTATATAATTAGAATTCCAGACGCGAGCAACGCGCGCTGCTTTGAAGAAACATTACTATTATTTAGACACCACAACACTACATCTTAAACAGACAAACATGAAAATAAATTAACAACACTTAACAACAACACCTCCTTGAAATTTGCTTAAGAAATGGTCAAAAGTACTTGGGACAACAGACATTACAGACTATTTTTACACACCCTTACTCATACGACAAAATGTAAAACTATTTGATAAACTAAATAAAACATTCATTAAATTTTCCCCTCATATTCAAATGCTTCAAAGAATGGGTGCTTTTCAAACACACACACACAGAGACACACACACACACAGAGACACACACACACATATATATATATTTAAGTGAACATTAAATTCAATACTTAGAGGTGACAGTCTGTTTCATGCTAGACGCGATCGATAGCCTGACGATTGCGTCTAGCATGAAACACACTGTTGCCTGTAAGTGTTGACTTCAATGTTCACGTTTGTATTTGCACACGCTCTATCTCTGATATTGAGCACTTTATCCCATAAATATAGCACACATTAAGACTATATATATATATATATATATATATATATATATATATATATATATATATATATATATATATAACTATCATTTCTTCCAAAATTTGATCAACTGTATCTGAAAAAGTATGTTTTAATAGTAACTATACATCACTAAATTGAAGTCAAACATGATTTCAAAAGCAGAATCACAAGCCTCACTTTAAGAGTCATCTCACTGGTTTTACAGCCGAAAAATACGTTTAAATTATTATATTTAGTTTCATTAAATTTAGTATAACCATGTTTACATGTGGTTGCTTAGATATTTTCTATTTATTCGTGAAGGAAATAGATAGAATTGTGTGCTTCATCTGTTATTGGCTAGCATATGTAGAAATGTAAGAAGATTGTTATAATTCGTGTTTATTGTAATTCTACGTAACGTTGTCGATCAAATATGATAGTGGCTATAATGTTCTTAATGGAAATGAAAATGATTATGAACTTGGTAATGAATGCTTTGATTAAATATATGTGAATAATGGCTATGATAACGAAAATGATTTAAATATGAATACAAAATGAAACGAAGGTGATTTTCATTTAATTAAGTTTATGAATATGGTTTCGCCAATATTTTCATGATAGCATTAAGCTATTTAAAACAAAGCAGCTAGAAGAAGTATTAATAACGTTTATGAGAACAATTGTGTGCTTTCTAACTTTATTATCACTAATAATATTAATATAATTATAATAAAACTTTATAATTATTTCTTGTGCTAATCATTTTGTAGTGAACAGCGTTAAAAATATATAAATTCAAATAGATTTCATTCTCTGCTAGCAATAAATCGGTGATCAGTCCCGAGTAATATAATTAGGCCAATCAGAGATCGATTTTTTAAAAAATTCATTTTGAATTAGCAAGAACGCTGGTGAAAAAAAAACAACCACTACAAATTATGAAAGAGAAATAATTGCGTTTATAATTTGCATTGTATTTTCGACCAGTTTTTGGCGCCAATTTAAGAGGGAAATTATTTGCCTCGACATTTTGAAGGTTAACGTATAAAAATAAAAGTACATTCCTATTGAGAGGGAAAATGGGTGGACATATTGTTTTTTTCGTTTGATTTGTATTTTCACCTGATATAGGATTGCAGACACTTATGTTAATACTTTTTTGATAATAATTTTGATATTTTTTTAAATTTCAGGAATCAAATATCAATCCTTTATTTTAGCTGCAATGTAAACTCAGAGTTCTTTCGTTAAACGTCTTTCTGAAAATGCAAGAATTCTCAATAAATAAGTATGGATGTTGAATGACCACAATATTTATTTTTTCTGTTCAAGAAAATTTAACAAATATCTTTTTCATAATTCACCATTTACTTTCCAAATTCTGTTACAAGAAATGAAGAAATAATGTAATATCTAAAGACAGATGTACAGAATTTACTTAGCATCTAGATTTTAAAATTCTCAATATGAAAACGAGTTAGTAAAATTTACCTAATTAGTAATGTTTATATATTTTTAATCTTTATGTCTGTTTTTTTTTTCCTGGACTCAGTAATATCAAGTCGTGCAATAAAATGATGACTGACTAATGGAGCTGACATCAATGAATGTCCCAAAAAATAAAACAACTGGATGGATTTATGTAGGAAATGGTAAGATGTGTGCAAATGGTTATCATGTGATGCGAAAGAATAAAAAGAAGACTGAAAACTGATTCATATATGCACATTAATTGTAAACGATATAAGCAGATGAATTTATATGATATAGATATGTATGAGTACAAATAATGAATTAAAATAACTAATATTATAGAGAAATAAGCGTGTATAGAAAAAACAGTGGAGAAAGGCAATCGGAAGATATAAATAGGTGAATACATATAACGTTATTGGAAAGAAAGAAAAACGGAAGGCATTATGTTAGAATACATGGATAAAAGAAGGTATTAGTCAATGAAGAATATGTTCTTTGTTTAAGTCAACCTGTAAGAGAATCATGGAAAATAAACTCTGGCACTAAGAGATATGCAGGAAAAATTGATCATTGCTCACATTTCTAGAGGTAACCTACAATCATTACGTGTCAAGATGGCAGCATTGATATAAGATGAGTTGATCATATAAGCGAAAAGTGACGCATAAAATGAACAATGGATAAATAGAGAAAGAGCAAAGAAAATTGAGGGTTCAAGGGCGAGAACAAAAGAAAAGGGCATGCTGGGAGTGCAGTGGATAGAAAAGGAGTTGTACAATCGATCAACGCACAAAGAAAAGCAAAGAGGAATAACGCGCTGAACGGAACGCTCTGCGAGCATAAAAGTATACAGACTTATAACTTATATTCCATTAACGTTAAAGACTTACAATATGTTGGAAATCGGCTGATATAAGTAAAATACATAATGATACAAGTTTTTTTAACTAAATTTTCTATTCCCTATTTTCTGATTAAGAATTCTTTTTCTATGTACTGTGTCTTTCTCAACATGGACAATCATCACCCTCCTCAACTTCCTATCTCTTAACAATATTTTTTCTCTTTACTAGCTCTCTCATTCTTTGTTCTGGCAAGAGCTTTAGGTGGGTTCGTTGAACTTTCCCGCTATTGCGTTCTGTATGTCCTGCCAGTGTCAAACTTTACAAAATGTATTTCCTTATCACGCGCCCAGGACATTTCAACTGCCTGACTCTAAATATAATGATTGACTAAACATGGCTTTATGTGAAAAGAACAAAAGAATGGAGCACCAGTGAGAATCGAAATCACTTCTCAGTCTAGCAAGACTAGCTCGCTATTACACCAGAACGAATTGTCCAATCAGACACTAAGTATAAGCGATCATTATGTTTCCTTTTTTCTTAAGATTTACTCCCATAGTATTCTGAGCATACTTCTGTGAAACTCTTGCATCAAGTCTCTTCTTCATCTCGGAGGAGACTGACTTCGCATTTACTGACAAATATGACAAATATTACATAACAGTTTAACACTCTTTTCTTTATTTCTTGAGAAATTATCCTGTTTCCTAATACTTTGCTCAGCTTTACTTGATTTATTTAATTGTTTCCCGCCAAAGCAAGGCGATAACGCCACTGAGAAACCAAAGTTTACTGAGTGAAATAAGATGAGAAAACGTTAAGTGTGGTGAAAAGGCAATATAAAGAAGACGATTCAAGAAGACAGAAGCTGTCGATTAATGTTGCATTTAAACCATTGAAGACCATGGGTGACAGGAAAGCAAGAAGGCAGAAGTGAGTTGCAAAATAGAACGAGAAAAGAAACTTTTAGAATAGAAATGGCGTTTTCATCTATTTCAGCAGTAAAATTATTTTAGAAACCATATTTTGGTATTCCAAAACATCTTCTGATTTAAAATGAGAAAAATCGAAAAACAAATATACATATAATTAGTTCACGAGGTTTCAACGTTTAATATTAGAGAGATTTACGAATTTTTTGAAAAAATTGATATCAGTGCACAAACTGGAAGCATACCTATTTGGAAATTCACCTTCAACAGATGAACAAGGGCATCATACGATTTACTGAAAACGGAAAGTACACCGTATTATTTCATACAGGTCGTGTTAGGTCAATGAAATGCTATCTTCGTGTAGTGAGTTAGAAAATTGAAACTCATTCCTTCTTGGAAAGTTGCAGATATCTAGAGTCGAGTATCTTTATCCCATGGGTTATTACGGCTGAGTGACTGGAAAAGAAGCAATATGAAAAGTTATTAGCATTCAACAGAGAAATTATACTGCACTGAGATGCTGGACAGAACGTTCGATTTTGGTACAATATCATCTCTTGGGATTAGTTTTTAACTATTCAATGAACGGGTAAGTGGAAGTGTCGAAGATGTCAAGCCTTATATTTTTGTGTGAACCGTTTGCAGCCTACAGGCAAGTATGGCGGATTTCTTCATTTAGAGTGTAGAACATTTTGAGGTACTGGTCATTCAAAAGTTGTAAGGAACATGAGAAAATAAAATTACAGAAAAAATAGTGTAACACTTAAGTCGTAAGATTTTTTTTCAAATTTAAGTAATTTTGTTAAAAACTATTTTATTTCCGTAATAAAATACTCATAATCAATTCAACCTTATTGAAGATATATCGATCATTTTCAAAGGTATATATATATATATATATATATATTTATTAAAGACATTTTTATGTTTAACGTTCTTTTTTTATAAATACAAGTATTTAAGTAAATGCTCTGTTTATATGAAAAATATATAAAAAAAAATATAAATCTCATATATTGTTCCTTTGTCCTAAGAAATAATATGATGTGTATAATTTCCATTGTTTTCTCATTATGCAACACAGAATAAGAAATCAACTCAAGAGTTCGAAATAAATATAAGCAAAGAAAATTCCAATATCTAAAAGTCTCTTGAGATCTCTTGGCCAGCATTTTCATATCGACCCGTCACAATGATATTTTCTCCCCACTCGATTTTTCTAAGTGATATATTCTTTGCCACGACGTACCCCAACGTTATTTTTAATCCCGGAAGACTATTATCACTGTCTAGAATAGAAATATTAGCAAATGATTTTATGATATTTTAACCAGAAGTGATATATTACACTTGGTTGACCCTTTCTGTAGTACAGTCGCATTGATAATCTTTTGTTTTAACGTTATTATATTTTTGTTCACGCTTTTCTTACTGAAAATAAAACCAGAGTAAGACATATATCGAAAGTGAACAAGCTAGTAACGCCATTTTTCATTGATGTGGAGCAATAGCAGATGAATCATAAGGCAACAGTTTTTTTCCTACACACACGCATATATATATATATATATATATATATATATATATATATATATATAAACATTTGTGTATCACACTGTTCAAGTGAAAAGGTCGCAACACTTTAACTTTCAATAGCTTTATATGCTTCTATATAATAAATTCGAAAATCTCCGTGTCAATTATTTTCAATTAAAGGGACATAACTCGTTATTTTCTATATAAATAAATGCCAAAAAGTCTGTGTCACACTTTTCCATTTGAAATGGACGGAGGTACCTAAAAATCTCAATATTTGTTAATTTAATGATTTAATTAAGATAAATAAATGCGACTATCATTGTGTTAGCATGTCACAGTTTTTCAACTTTACTTCTAGAGGTCGTAGCCCAATATATTATACCATTTTCGTTTTGGTCAAATTGCTGAAATATTGGATTTACAAGTTTTCATGACTGAGATTGTTATAGACGATTTTTTATGAGATTTTTTGGGACGATTTTTTTGTACGATAACCATTTTTATAACTTAGAAATAAATTTGTGAATAATGGACATTAAATACGAAATCCAGCGAAAGTCACCCATGAAATAAAAGCAATTGTTTACCATGAAAATAAGGACCTACGTTTATCAAATTTTCTTGAGATTAAAATGTCTCGAAAAGAATTATCGTTGAACATTTGAAAGGCAAGCTTAAATATTAAGGCAATACTTAAATTAGGCGATTTTTGAGTTCTTCCGTAGTTTATACTTGCTTAACTCATACGACTGCAATATGACGGGTAAAAAGAAATCTCCGCCAACAGAGGACCAGATGACAATCAAGAGACATGTCTCCACCGAGGAAAAGAAAGTCCCGTGTAAATGAAAACCTCAGATCCAAAGGCAGCCAGTATAGCTACCAGTGCTGAGAATATGCGAAGACTTAGCGACGCTCAAACTCCTGAACAAACCGAATGGCCAATCAGCAGCCTCCACAGGAGCAAGCTTAAATGCTGCCCAAGAGGACGGCTTATAATCTGGTGTATATATATATATATATATATATATATATATATATATATATATATATATATATATATATATATATATATATATATCACTCAAATATGGAGGTACGGATTGATGAATCGGAGAGCCGAGTTCTAATTCCAGTTGAGTTCATTACATTCATGTACGTGCCAATACACTTAGGAAAGATATATATCCATCTCTTCTCCTACATACATGGATAAATAGCAGGAGAGATTGGGTACTATACACTAGATGGCGATCTGTCAAGATTCTGCTCTGACCTAGAGGCTAACACATATCGAAATATGAATTCATTTCTTTGGACGTATAGTAAGTGAATCTAAATTTAACACGTACTTTTGTGTTTATAAACACACACACACACACACACACACACACACACACACACACACACACATACACATATACATATATATATATAAAGGACCAATTTTCTTCACAAATTCGTTTCGTCCCTAGAGGGATTTTGTCAAGGTTATTGCCACGATTTTATTAATAATAATATTGGTTGTAGAATTAGTTTTTCGGTTCCGTCTAAATTTTTCTACATTCTCTTTTACTGCCAATGACACCTTACGGGTAAGTGGCATTATCGCCTCACTCAGGGTGAATTAAGTAAAAAATTGAGTAGTAGCTGGCCTGTTAATAAATGCCAAATGTTTCCTTGTAGGGAAAAGACTAATATTATCATTACTATTAACATTACTTCTAAAAGGACAGCATATATTTTTGTCTGCAAAAATAAATAAATAGATAAATGAAAAAAAAAAATCAGATAGTTAAATTTTTATATATATATATATATATATATATATATATATATATATATATATATATATATTGTAGCAAGGGATGACGTTAAACATATAAACATTAATGCTAAAATATTGTTCTACTTATTCTCTTGTTTGAATACTGAATAATTTCCTCATCGATGAATATGGTACTTCAAGCGACTGAAAGTAGGTCCTACTGACAACTAATCATAATACCATGGAGGAATTGTGTTACCAACGTGGAAGCTTTAAAAAGAATTGGAACTGTTAGGAAACTTTTATTTACAAAATTTAAATGAACTGAAGGCAGAAAAAAAAACAATGTAAGATGGCACAATGGAAAAGGTGATGTTTGTATGAGCCATGATCGAACTTATCCTGTATTTGGACAGCTTCCTCCCAAGAGCCACTACTTTGTAGAAAGGATTTTATAGAGGATGTTTCCCCGTTCACTACATAATAAACCTTTATCTATCCTACAATTATCCATAATCTACAATTCAAACGTCCATATACAATTTCATTCAGCAAGCATCTACCTTTAGTGATTGTTTAGCCTCTATTGGTTAAAAAAACGTTAGATAGATAGATAGATAGATAGATAGATAGATAGATAGATAGATAGATGATAGATGACAGACTGAAGTAAGCTGGAATATATGAAGAGACTGATATATTTATATAGATAAATATGAACAGACTGAGATAGATATTATTTAGCGAGAAGAAGTAAGTGAAAATGTAAGTGGGTGGCAAGAATGAAAGAGAAAGTGGGGAATTGACAACTGATGATAAATTTCAATTTTTACAAGCTATCACAATAAATCAGTTCTACGGTAGATAGATAGATAGATAGATAGATAGATCGATCGATAGATAGAAGTGAAGAAAGATACCACCATAATTATTTCGGGGCAAAATGAAGAATTCAGCGAATAGAAAGATGTGAACGAAAAACAGAACAATATAAATGAGAATAAAGAAAAAAATTGCAAGAACTGTGCAATTGTAAAGGCTAAAGATACAAATGTATTGATGTAACGAGTAAAAAAGCAAACAGGAGAGTTCGCAAACGAAAGAAGGAAGCAATCGCCATTTTGTCGAACAGAAATCACCTGGTTGATTAACTAACTTTATCCTCGCTCTGGGAAATAATAATAAAAGACCAACCGAAAACCTTAAACAAAAACAAGGGAAATTGCGCTGTTCAATTGTTCTGTGCTGAAAGAAACACAAAACGACGAAAAATAAAAGGTCGTTGATTAGTTCTGAGTGAAAAGATGGCGAACCCAGTATTGTTTTCTTTGCTATAAATAGATAGTAACTACTATACACACTGGAATATCAAACACACATACGAACAGAAATATATATATATATATATATATATATATATATATATATATATATATATATATATATATATATGTGTGTGTGTGTGTGTGCGTGCGTGTGTATAGAGATAGACAGATTATAGCAGAGATAAGCACCAACTGACTAAAAAGCTGATAGGGACATATATATATATATATATATATATATATATAACCTTTGGGACACCTCGATGTGGTGTAATGGTTATCAAGCTTTTCTCGCTAGAACAAATACGACTGAGTAGTGAGTTCGATCATCACTGGGTGCCCAATACTTTTGGCCTTGTACCACATCTGAGCTACACTTGGAAAATCACTATATATATATATATATATATATATATATATATATATATATATGAACTTTATCCAGATATAAAATTTTGAGCTTTATCTATAAAGTTATGAATAAATTGAGAGAGATGAAAAAATACAGATATGTATATATATGTAACATTAATAAACTTATAAATGTAAGCAGCTATAATCGTCCGGCAAACCTTAAGTGTTTTGGCTTGTGAATGAACAAACTAATACCCAAGGGAAAAAAAGGGGTAAAAAAACGAAAGAACTAAGGACATGTACTTCCGGCGAAAATAATCGTCTTGAATCTAAGTTCAGAGTCCAAAGAAAAAACCTCCTACACGAGCAAATTAAAATAACTAAACAAAGTCCTCAATACGCTAAGTAGAGCAAACTAGGTAAATAACATAAAGAGACAGACAACCTATATATATATATATATATATATATATATATATATATATATATATATATCGTACTAGTAATCTTATAAGAAACTATACTCGTTCGGAAAAAACTTCGTCTAGCATGCAGGTCCAAAGCCCAAAGATAAAATAAACCTGACGATCCGCGAACGTGAAACCGTAATAGGTTGTCTGGCTCTTTAGGTTTAACTATATATATATATATATTATTTTAAAATAAATATTCATAATCTAAGCTCTAATTCTGTATGGAGCACTGTTTTTAAAAAAATAAATACAAATATACTAAAGAACCATAGTTTATTTAACTAACGTGTTTTTTTTTCCTATTTTTCTACATACCTGCACACACACACACACACACACACACATACATATAAATATATATATGTTAAAGTGAACATAGAAGTCAACACTTAGAGGCGACAGTCTGTTTCATGCTCGATGCAATCGTCAGGCTACAGGTGACAGAGAAATAGAGAGATACGCACAATATTAAGAATATTTATTGCCTGGGTACAATTAGATTGATTGCTTGATCTTTTTTCTTCGGAATACCAACTGTGTCAGTGTTTTAATGCCTGAAATGTTTTTTTTTTTTTAAATATATGGTTTGTAAAAAAAGGGCCCTGTCAGTCGCCTTGAAAATATTTAACGCCACAAACCGAAATTCGACTTTCTTATCTAAAGCACGACAGATTCTTTCAGTAGTAAGCGTTAACATATTGGAGGTTGAAATCAAGAAGACATTGTCTGAATTGACCCTATCTAGGAGAGACGTTTAAACTGTTGGGAGATGATTACAGATACTGTTTGCAAAAAAAAAAAAAAAGAAGAGGTATAATAATAATTTGAAAATCCGAAAGATTAGGCGGTTCATCTTAGTTCTTAAAAACAGGATCCATGTCTTTTTACAACGTTATTATAATGTAACTAACAAAATAAGCTGGTATTTAAACTCGGTTAGAACATTCTTTGCCATAACCATTGCGCTAGTTACTCATGTTTGTGTTGTGGATTCAGAGAGCACTTTGTTTAATTACTTTCTTGGGCTATTTTCCCAATCCTCTAACATTAGGTGTTTTCTTTGAACGATTTGTATTCAATTAAAATATTTTAATGAATGCTCGATAAATGTTATAAAAAAAACGCAGCTGACTTGATAGGAACAATTAAACCTGGGCTGGTGAGAACGAGGAAAAGAAATACGTGTGAATCGTTAAAAAGGAAGAAGAGTTTAGGAGAATACACTGAGAAAAGAATATTAATATGAATTAAGCGAAGGAAGGGTAGAAGCAAAATAAAAGAAAATTGAAGAAACATTTTGTTGAAATCATAAATGAATGGGATTGAATGCTGAGAAAACTTAGCAATAAGAGAATTGATTTACATCGCTAAATGAATTGTGTCAATCCTAGAAGGCTATACATTGTTCGTATAATCGTTCATGTGATAGGGTTAACATAAACTCTTCATATTCTTTCTTTTATCTGTAATCAAGTTTTGCTTATCTATTAATCTATTGCAGTTTGATCATTATCTATCTATCTCTATACGGAAATATAAAAATAGAAGCTAAAATAAGGTAAAATCTTGAAATATAAAATATACCGCGGACTCAATGCCAAAGTCAACAGGAGACTAAATATGATATAATAATGATTGGTATTGCAGGAAACTATGACTAAGGGATATTGATAATATGTTATTATCAATAATACACAAGGGTCATTTAAAAGATAAGCATGCCGATAACTACTCCATCATTTCTCAAACTAATCTTAATTGTCTTATTACACTTCACTCATAAATTTTCACTGCCAGTTCAAAAAGACGTTTGGATCACTAACACAAAAAAGAAAATGTCCCATATCGAGCATATTTAACATCGAAAAGCAAAGAAAAAATGAATTATTTTTAATAAATATGTGGAAATCTCCACCCTTTGCCAGATGACGGTCGCGAGACCGGAAACCCGTGTAACAAAATTATGGATAATAAAACAATATTTTTGGGAAATCCACATTGCAACCAAAAACGTCTGCGGCTTCTCTCTTTTAATATACACACTTTTCTCTCGTTGGAACTACTATAACCTCTTCCGTTTATATATATATATATATATATATATATATATATATATATATATATATATATATATATATATATATATATATATATATATATATATATATATATATATATATATATATATATATATATGTATATATATATATATAACGTGAACATCACTATAAACCTTTTTCCATTTTGTCATACATTTTTATCACACACACACACACACATATATATATAATATATATATATATATATATATATATATATATATATATATATATATATATATATATATATATATATATGAGACATGTTTCATTGAATAATTTACAATGGATCTGCCTACTTATTTTCAATTGGATCCTTTTCATATTCACGGACAAGCGTTTTGGTGTCATTGTTAAAGGAAGAGACAAAATTAACTTGCTGATATATGCTATTTATTCCAAGTATATTCGACATTTGTTTCTTAGATATAAATATAGTAGTGCTTGTCATCTTCAAGGACAAAATTGGTGTGTTTATCTGAAAGTTGAAATTTTCACTGGTGAAGTCAGGAACACTGAGTTTAGTATTAGTAGCGCTTCAGGAGAGGTCATGTCATGAGGTGTCGAAAGTTATATAGGTATGTATGTAAGTGTGGGGTTAACACAGACCTTTCCCGTTTCTCGTAACATAAACAAAGACACTATTTTAGGAATTAATTTCCATTTTATTAAACCAACACATGTTTATTTTATTGCTTAAACACTACATTTATCTGATATACATATTTTAGTAGATGGTCTGTTTTTATTTATTAAACAGTATATTTATTTATTTCACCAACCGGCCTGAATATTCGGGAAATCTTATCAGAACATATCCGCTACCACATAAAATAAATATACTGCATAATAAATGCTATTGCTATTTTGAGGGGTACTCTTTTTTATGATTTTCCATTTAATGGTGATATTATTTTCTTTTTGGCCCCATATGTTTTTTGATAGGGGTGTGTTGTGATTTTATTTTTCTGCGTAAATGACGTTTTGTGATTGCTAAATCTTTATTTGAAAGTTGTTTCTACTGGTTCTATGTAGATTGTTTCGTCTGTGTTTAATCTGTGTTTAATCTGTGTTTATGATCGCTTTTTATATTATATTGTTGGGTAGACATTCAATGTTGAGTGGGCAGATTTTTTATTTTGATTCGCAGCTGCAATTATTCATGTTCTTTTGCTGAATTATGTTGTTTTTCCTCTTGTTTATGCTGAGTAATTTGTTTGTTATGTTTGGTTACTTTCTCCATGATGTTCATTCAGCTGTAACTAATTTTGATTTTGTTTTTGTCGATTTTTGATAGTTTGTTGTTTTGGGGAAAACATTTTACAAATATAATGAGGAATATTGTTCCTATTTCTGTTTTTACTGTATTATTTTATGTTGGGTGTTTCTTCTGTTACTGTTTGGTTCGTGTGTTTTCGTTTATGCATTTCAGTTTGATTGAATAATCGCTATTTCTTAGTGTCGATTCGTATGTTTCTCTCTTTAAGTTGAATATTTCACTGTTGCCGGAATTCGTTGATATTTTTTTATGGATATAAATATGTGTTTGAATGTTTTAGGGTTTGGTTGAAGTTTCTATTGATATATATATATATATATATAAATGGAGTTGTTGTTTTCTTTCTGGATTGTTGTTTAAATTGAATGTTTTATCCAAGAAATACAATACCTTTAGATTTGATTTTATATTTATTGTGAATCCTAGAGTGCTGAAAACTTCTATGATTTGTTTTATTTTTACCGTCGGTCGACGTATTAATAACGCTAAGTAGCTTTAAAGGTAGAACCACGAAAAAAAAAAAGAAAAGAAAACTAGTCCTAGGATACACAATAGACATAAAATCAAATTTGAAAGTACTAATATTCTTAGAGATAGAAATACGTCCAACCCTAATTTCAATCTAAGGAATGTCTTTCTTATTAAAAGTATAAATTCGCATCCCGGACTTTTAAAAATATCTCCCTTCCTAAGTGATATACACATTTCATAAGTAAACAAACATGGCTTTGAATTTTTTACAAAAATTTAAAATCGCTTACATTGAAAAACGTTCTTTCTTTCAAATATAAAACTACATGAATTACTTTCTAAAAGAAAACTAAAATATATAATTACATTATAAAAGTAATAACAAATCTACTCACTTTGGTTCATTGCATAAACTTAGCATATTCCTGAAATGTATTTTATGAGCTTTTTTAAAATATTAACAAGATTTTTGCTTCTGTTTATAAATACTGGTTAAAAATAAAATCCTTTTATTTACGTTGATATAGTCCCTCAGGTGACTAAACATGTTAGCTAATTGTAGTTATCCTTATGTTTTTATTCATATTGTCATTTTAAATATATATATATATATATATATATATATATATATATATATATATATATATATATATATATATATATATATATGAGTTTATATACTTGATAGACACATAATACTAGAAGAAACACACTAAAAAGCTTAAAAGAATAACTTGTTAGTGTTAATTGATAAAACCTCATTAGTCAAAATTACTGCTCCCTAAGTATTCAGTATATATATATATATATATATATATATATATGTGTGTGTGTGTGTGTGTGTATGTGTGTGTGCATAAACACATCTCTGAATATTATAAATTTATGTGTATGTCTCTGTTCTCTCTTTCTCTATATATATATTCACACGCACATACACATACCCATATATATATATATATATATATATATATATATATATATATATATATATATATATATATATATATATATATATATATATATATATACTTACATTTAATGAATCCATTTAAAAACATTTAACTTAAACTGAACATTTGTTTATTCATTGAGAAATGAATAATTAAACAATGTTATTTTTGTTCAGTTTAATATTAATTAAATTTAGGATCCTCTCCTTTTTAATTATCACCAAAATAATCAATTGATAAAAGCAAGAACATTTTAAACTAAATATAAAGCTTCCTTTTTTTTAAGATCAATTATTCTTCAAATGAACAAAAGCATGTATCCATTTAAAATGTAAAATGTACACTGCCGTGCCGAATGTCAGGGAATTGTAGCATGCAAATGGAATAGTACCTGGTCATGGAAATGGCCAGATTGTTATCTATCAGTTTTACTCTAACATTTGGTGAGTCTGTATCACCTGCGGCTACACCGCTTTATTGTGACGTAATTTATATCTGAATGAGACTGTTTTCCGTGTACCAGATGTAGGGAATATCCAGAGAGGGCATTTGATATTCAATGCTATAATGAGAACCGTATGTCCTGAGTGTATACAATGTGAGGCATTGTTTTCTACGGTCAGCAATGTATTGGAGGAATACGTATCTTTATTTAAGGACTGAGGTACCATACGCATTTCCGGTAGTCCGAATTCTTTTGTTCTATTAGATTTTGGCGCAGAAGAGCCAGAGATACACCCATGTACTCACGACGATATAAGTCACTGCGCCTCACTTAGGAACGTTATTTAATTGCACGCTGTAATGTAACAACAAACGATATAGTTGCTTCTTGTAGATGGCAAGATAGGAATGTTGTGTTAACACTACATGGTACGGGGAGTGTCTGCTGACTTTTGGTATGGTCTGATATACCGAATATCTTCGATGGACTAAAGCCAATCGAGATGATATAACTTGCCCCCTCTCTCTTTCTCTCTCTAAAAGTTTTGCAACGACGTGTTTTTTGTTGTAGGGAAGCTTTAGGTTTTACACCAGCCGAAAGTTTTGGGGGCACCGCTCTCCTTACTAGGAAAATATCTCTGTGACATATCAAATTCGATTTCAACCCCAATCCAACGGCCCCATTTGTACAAGAACTACATAGCAAAATAGCACAGTTGAAATACAGACGAAGAGGATACACCATAAAGGACGTTTACATACTAAAAAGTCTTCAAGACTGCGAGTATATCTTTTATAGGGAACTTCACAGTTAGACGACCACTGACAGCAAGCTACTAAGGTCATTTCAACGTTTTTAGGCGAGCTGATAAATACGTCACAATCAAGCGTGGTAACATTACGTACACCATCGCTATCGATGAAGAAGACTGAAGAAAACTGGTGTTTCTGGAAAATACGTCACCAAACATTAAACTGGGCTCTAGGCCCACAATCACAACGAGGCGCTATTACAGACTAAATGAGGGAGTAATGTCACGTTTTCTAAAC